TACAATTTCAATAAGTATAAACTTTATCATAAAGAAACCATGATTTGCAGGCAGGTGAAGTTCTTAGAAGCCAACTTACAGGCTATTTAATACTTATATGCCTTTTAGATATTCAAATAGATAATGTATCTTACCTAAGGTTTTCATGGAAAACCAGATCTTGGAGCAATCATTCCTTTCACACACCCCTCATATTAAATCAGGAGCTCAAGCTAGATTTTCCCAATACTGTAAATGTTTCTTATATGCCTTGCCACTACCTGCACATTCTTGTCGTACTTTGAACTTTAGAATTCTGTCTTGCAAAGGTGGTAAAATTTCAGGTGTGGCCATTTCAGTTAATGTAAGCAAAGAAATGCTGCACTAAGGCTGATCTACCTCACACAATATATGTTTTCCTTATGTTCACATACATCAAGTATAAAGATATACTTGGTTAGTATATCTTTATCTGGACAATAAAAATATGAGTTTCACGTTATGGAAACGTTTGGTAATTTGCTTAAGCTCACCACCTTTTAAAAGTTTATTGACAAGATATATTTTCACTTACAGGACAAATGAAGCAGGAATCTCGAAAAGAACAGATTTAGAAAGGCAACTTTTTCTTACCTTTCAGCGTACTACTGCTCTGCTCATCCAGTGAGGCTCCCAAAGGGGTACTGAAACCACACAAACATATAAACCTTAGTCTTGAAAAGCTGTCTGGAGAGCTGTCACTGCAAGCCTCATGCTTACTGGGTTATAGCTAAGCAAGCTTCTAATCACAGTGTAACTCTCCTCCCAAACACACAAGGAATGCAAGTGGATTACATAAGTAATAGGCTACGAACTAAGCAAATACCTGTGTCAAGTCAGTTTACCAGAAATGATTTAATCACAGGTCTGATCTGCCAGCAATTAAGAGCAAGAATGGCAATTATAAATGATATGAACTGGCACTTTCTTTACAGAAACAGAAAGAGAGAATGACAGTAGGAATTAAGAAAATGTCTGCTTCCCTCAGTCTGCTCCCTAGAAACAGGAAACAGAATTAAAAGAAAGCAAATCATTATCTCGATAAAATTAAAAGTCAGAGACTAGTTAGAAATAAGGCTCAAGAGTTATCTTAAACCTTATCTGTTAAACCTATCACTAGCATTTTAGAGCACTGGGCACCTCCTTTATCCCAACTACTATCTTTATTGATATAAATGGAGAGGCTGGAGATTTATTTTCTGCTTTTAAACTAAAAAGTACACGTAGTCTTCATTTAACTCTGAAAAGAAAATTACTAAAAAGTCGGCTTGAGAATCAAGAACTAGCCATTACTAAAATCCTTTCACATTCTTGTAGGTCAGAGATAACTTAGAAATCTCTTTTTCAATGCAAAAAAGTTTTCCACTTCTTTCTCAAAACTATGTTAAAGAAACAGATTGTTTTAGTTTGAAAGTTCTACTTTCATAACAATTTATACCTGTTAAAAATTCCCTCAGATGTAGTATCAACATAAAAATATCAGTTTCAAATAAATGTTATTGAAATGCCAATTAAACATTGATTTTCTGCAAACAAATATATAGCAAAGGCAGCTCTTTGGAAATTAGTGATTTTTTTTTAGTAAATTTGTGCTTTTTGTGATTTTTTTTTAGTAAAAGAATCATAAACTACCATAGATATTAATAAAACCTTCGAGCTAAGTTGTTGCATATGTTTTATTTTTTTAAATTTATTTTTATTGATTTCAGAGGGAGAGAGAGACAGAAACATCAATGATGAGAGAGAATCATTGATCGGCTGCCTCCTGCACATCCCCTACTGGGGATTGAGCCCACAACCCAGGCATGTGCCCTTGGCTAGAATCGAACCTGGGCCTCTTCAGTCCGCAGGCCGAAGCTCTATCCACAGAGCCAAACCAGCCAGGGCAGTTGCATATGTTTTAATAAAACTCTAATTTATGCCATAAAAAAGGTCATTCTTTTCAATGGCTCCTTTCTTAGGACAAAACACTATTACTCCTTGTGTAGATGTATCCACTGGTCTGTGCACTGACACAAAGTGGCAAATAAGCAGAACATAACTGGCATTCTCCTTCAAACACAAGTCTCTCACTCTTATAATTGCTCTCTTCCAAATTCTATCAAAAACTCTGTCCTGTCTTAGGTGGTAATCCAAGCAATTTGTTTCCACTTCGCCAAAAATAAAATAAAGTAAAATAAATGGTTATCAAATTAAATATTTACTTTAAGAAAACACAATGTGGTATCTTTACTCAGGATATGGAGAGAAATAAGAAAACAATGACTATTTGAGAACTTATTGAGAAAAAAAAATGCTGTCTTCAGATAATTTGTTTATAATGTACAAAGTAGCTAGATACTCAACTCTGGGAAGGAACCTAAATTGTTACAGAAAAAAAAAAAAATACAGCTGCATATATCCTAGAAGTCAAATCTGTGATAATAAAGCCAACAGTAAAAGACCTGTTCTGCCTCTCCCAGGTACAGGTGAATGCCACTTTTGAACAGAACAGGTGCAACTGCAGAGAAGAAAAAGCAGCAAAGGAGTGGCAGACTACAGAATCTGCCCACATTAATCGAGATTAGCAATAAAAGTTCGCAAATGGTCAGACACAATGCACCCTGCTGAACACTAACATTTGCTTATTGCATTTCTCTTAAAAGATGCACTTATTTACTACCTACTTGATATAATCAAGGAGATCTACCCCATACTTGATATAATCTCTTATACAAACTTAATTCCTTTACATCATAAAGTAAAAAGATGTGATTCTTCTCCTGCTCTTAAACATTTTTTTGGTGTCTCTTTAGAGAAAGGTTTCACATATTTTATCATATTTCAGAAGGGTCTATGACACCCCCAGTAAAGGTTAAGGAGATCTGTAATAAAGTGTTCAGGAAGGCTCCAGGCAATTCATCAAAGTAGGACATCAATAGTCTAGTGGCCAATATTTTATCTATAAACTGACATATATGAGAATCACTTCTTCCTCCCCCCCAAACGACTTCCCAAACTCTGGTACTTGAACACAAGATTAAGAAAAGCCCCAAATGTTTGGGGGGCGGGAGGAGAATACGTGCAGAAACAAACATCTTAAAAAGCAACATTCTTCACTGGAGATGTTATAAGTAGCAATAAATTGGGGAAAAAAGAATTAACAAGCACATTTCACTGTCATAAGATTTAATTGCAATATGATTCATCTCCTCCGTACTTTATCAAACATTTTTGTACCAGTTGCCAAAACATGTAATTAAACAGATTTATGCAGTCTGAATGCCTTCAAAGCTCTATTTCCCTTCCGTGAATTCCAGCGCCATCTGACAAATGCATTTCCAAGAAGTAAATTACAAGGACAAAGTTAGCTAGTTTTCACAGCTCTCCAAACAGAATCAGGGCACGCACAAAAATATTCAAGCCCAGAGAGTGCAGCGCAGCTTTAAAACTCATCTAAAACACATTTGAAAGGGAAATGATTTGAGGCCAGATGTAAAGATGTCAAAACAAAAGCAAAATGAAATATCGTGTGAAAATCCTTTCGAATAAAAACGAGGCAAGCCTAATAGCATGGCACGACGGTCTGTTTTAGGTTTGCGATCCCTGATGCTAAACCAGCATCCCGCACGGGAGCTCGAGCCCGAACAACCGCAGAGCTAACGCGGTCCCCGAGTCACTGGCGGTCGCAGTGCTTCCATTTCTAAGCGCTTAAAGGAGGAAGCGATCCGCAGGCTCACTTTCCGGTTTAGTTTACAGCGACCACGGGACCCGCAGGGACGGCGTCCCCTCTGCCCGGGTCTCCCTCCGCGAGGCCGGCGGCGCCGGCGGGGACTCACCGGCAGTCCTTGAGCCATATCGCGATCTTCTCGTTGGGCACGTTTCCTGCGGGGCAAGAGGGGAGGAGCAGCTCGTCACCGACACCAGGCAGGAGGGCTCCCGCGGCGGGGAGAACCCGGGCACTTCCACGCAGGAAAGTCTCCTGGGGTCACCATGCACCCCGGGCACCAGTCCTCGGGTCCCTCCGAAGAGAAACGAGACGGCACCGGGGGGCTCGGTGGACGCTGGAGACGCCCGGCCGAGCGCGCGCGTTTAAAGGTCGGAAGCGCCTCCTCTCCCCTCGGCCTCTCCAGCCCGGGAGGATCGTCCACC